ATCCCATCCACTTTAGATTGCCGCATAGACCTCTAGTGCACATACTGAAATCCTTCAGACTGAGTGTAAGTGGGAGATCCTCACACATTGAGTCCCAGCGATTAAATTAGAGACATTGGACTTTCTACTGCATCCCAGCAAGCATGCGTCTTTCAGAAAGACGGAACTCCCAGTGCAGTAAACATGACAGAATGGTTGGGATGCCATATTCCATACCATAGCATTGTTCTACCGCAAGCCTTGTGCAGACTTCTGGGAGAGGCTTTGAATTCATGAAATGGCAGGAGAATAGGGACTGCTTGGGTCATATGGTCTACTTTTGCAGGTAAAAGAAATCCGATATTTTGGACACTGCATTCATGTCAATCTCTCACATTCAATAAAGCTCACCATACCCATTGGGGTCGGTTTATAAACAATTTGCAGGACCCCATGCCCTGTGAACATCTGTAAATGTTCGATTTGGGTGAATAATACCAAAAATGAACATTCTTAATATATTTTTCCATTATCATGTGATACTACACTTTGGATGAGCATTGGAAATTAATATTGATACTACATTTTGGCCACTAGATGGCGGTGTGGATCATATAAAAACGTTATTTCCGGTGCTCCTCAGCTCCACCTAGTGGCCATAATGTAATATTACAAGGCAATGCATTCAAACTGGAAACGTTCATTTTTGACATTATTCGCCCCCAAAACGAATTTTCAAAGATATTCCCAGGGCAAAGGGCCCTGTAAATTGTGTACAAATAGACCCCACTACAATCTGATTGTCCATTCTCCTTTAGCTCTACCAACAGCTAAGTAGTACAAGGGCTTGTTTGATTGCATACAAGTTGATTGGATTAAATAGGTAGGCCCTTATATTACATAGTTTTGGTAAATTTAAAGTGGATTGTACAAATATTGTACGTTAGGATTGTAACGTGCATGGTGACCCATAGAGCGAGGAGTCTGGATATTGTTTTACTGCATTCCATTAGGCAATGCTCTATTTTGGATCCTCATTGGAACAGTCCTGTCTGTCGTACGCTGCATCCCAGCAGGGCTCAGCTCGCTGTAGGCTGTTTTTACTCCCCTTTGTGAAAGTCTACAGTCTTTTTTTTTTTAAATCACATACAGCCGCAGCAACCAATCAGAGCTCATCTCCCTTCCCTCGGAACCGCTCTCATTGGTTGCTCTGGATCACGCACACCATTGCTATTTGCACTATGTAATACGTAAGTCTCGGTGTCTCCAAGAGTGTGTCTTCAGCCACTGGTACAGGTTGTATCACGAATACATATGCTAGTACTTATTGCTAAATTATTGTAGCATCGGAATCTGTAGATATCACGAGAAGTGTATATGATGTTAATTTATTCCTCACGTCCAGCACAGGGATGGTTTTAAAGGGCCAGAATTGATCTGGGAGGGGCTTATTTACAACAACAAAAAAGAGAATCTGTTACCCGGAACAACCAGATAGCCTCAAACTTTTTTTTTTTAAAGGGAATGCCCGATGTTACAGTTTAGGGTCCACAAGCATAGCCATGGACAGGAATTTGGGAAAATTAGTCTTTGTGTCAGGGCAGGAGGTGTCCAGGCAAGGGTCTGGGTGGGCATCGGAAATATAAACAGCGGGTTCTAGGAATGGGGCCCGAGTGGTAACCAAAATGATTTTTTTAAAAGGGGGGTAATTTATTGTATTTATGTCCGGGAAAAATAATTTCTAGTGTCTGGTTGCTGTGGGTAGCAGACATATGTTGTTTTTTTTTTATGAATCGGCCTCCCTGGATTACACGTAGACCGACCTGGCTTGCTGGAAGCCCCAGCGGTCTTGGGTTCAATCCTATTGTATATTATGTATGTTTGATATAAGGTCTATTTTATATTGTATATTGCCATTAAACATCTTTTAAAAATCCGTGTTTGGTACGTTCATTGTCTGCTTCCTTCCTGGACCTGAGGTTCATATCCTAAAACAGGGGTGGGCAACTCTGGCCATCCAGCGGTTGTGGAACTACAAGTCCCATGAGGCATTGCAAGACTGATAGTTACAGGCATGGCCCCTTAGAGGCAGAGGCATATTGGGATTTGTAGTTAAAGCACAGCCGAAGGGCCGGTGTTCTATCGAAATAGTTAGCTCGTCGAAATCTCCAATTATGTCACTTCTGGTGAATAGACTGACTGGAGGAGCTCTGTACATTGGCGTTGTGCATGCGCAAACAAGCATTTTCACAATACTCTTGGAGTTCTCCAACAGCAGTCAGTGCGCATGTGCAGACTAGTCGTATGCCAAGTGCTGGAGAACTCGATGAGTATTGTGAAAATGCCAGTCCAGTCTAACGCCATCTCATCGAAAGTCACCGTAAGTGTCGTAATTGGAGATTTCGGCGAGTTGGATGTCTCGATAGAACACCGGAGTTGCCCAACCGTGCCCTAAAATAATTTTTTCTCACTATAACAGGTCTGATTTAAAACACCATTAAAGGGCAACTGAAGCCCAAACTCCCCGTTAGGGAGATTCACCCTCTCTGTGTCCTGGTTACCAATGAAAGTAATAGAGAAAACCCCAAATTTTGAGTTGTCACCAAAACAGGAATAGATGGTAAATCTTCCACTGTGGATACTATTTCTGGCGACACCAGGGATTTCCTCTCACGTCCTGTTGTGGCTATCAGACAGGAAGTGAAGGGAAATCTCCCTAATGGGACACAGCACAAAATACGCTGACCGGGGTTATAACCCTCCCTTATTCTATTCAAAACCACGAAAAAAACATTTGGGCTTCAGTCCTACTTTAAGAAATGTGTAAATTTACTGGGGTTGATTTAGTAAAGTGGTCTGCTGCGAATGTTCACTGAGCTTCGTACATAAGAAGAAACTGTGTTCCCTATAATTAACCAATTGTTTGCTGGCCAAAATCCTATTTTGTTAAATATATCGCACATAGTTACGTATTTAAAGAAAAGTGAAATGCACTTTTTAGGCCTCATTCACATGGGGGGGCCCTAAAGCATGAAGGACCATTTTTTCGTATGCCCAGAGCTGCTGGAAGAAGCATGGGGGCATCTTATTTAAGTCTATGAAGACGGAGGAGCTGTGCGCCCTCACATGCTACTTCCCGCAGTTTCGACCTTTGACAGATGCACACAGGCGATGTACGGCCTCGGACGCAGATATGATAGATCCAGGTCCCTGCACTGTCTGTGAGTGGCTGTTAGAGCTGGGAGCTGTGGGAAGTAGCATGTGAGGGCGCATCAGCTCCTCCGTCTCCATAGACTTACATGAGATACCTGCATGCTTCTTCCCGCAGCTCCAGACCCATCGAAAAACAGCCTTTCATGCTAGATGGGGCAAAACACCCCCATTTGAATTAGGGGCCTTAGGGTGAACATTCAGTTTGGCCCTGGGTAACTATCCAATTTGGAATTTTTGGTAGACGACAACTGTTGAATCACCCTCATTCACAGGGGCCCCCTGCATTTGTTTTATTCAGGTCCCGTTCACAATGGCTTGTGCGTGTTATGGTCCGTATAGCACATGATCCCTGGTGTGCGTTGTGTAGAGGAAGGTTTTAACTTTATTGAAATATCACAAATAGGGCTGTGCAAATTAACGATTAATTTCTTGATTAATCTTTTTGATCGATTTAATTTTTTTTGATCGCTAATGAAAATACTCACCTCTCCGCTGCCTTCCGGGAGTCCCGTCGAAGATCCGGGGGCGTCACGGACATCGACGTCACCGGACTCCTCCCCCTTCCCCAAGTGGCTCCGTCAGCTAAGGAAGGGAAGGGGGTAGGAGTTCGGTGACGTCGATGAACCCAAGTGGCTCCGTCGGCTAACGAAGGGAAGGGGGGAGGAGTCCGGGGACGTTGATGTCCGTGACGTCACTGGACTCCTCCCCCCTTCCCTTTGTTGGGCCGGTGAGTTTGCCCAAGAAACTTTCTGCACGAGCGCCAGCCAAGACATTGGCCTATACACATACAGCACAGCAATGAAGTAATAAAATGAACTAGGATCACACTAATCCAGCACGTTATTATTCAGAGTTGCCCCACTCAAGCGGCGGCCATATTGAGTGGGGCACGTGAGATTAATAACGTGCTGGATGAGTGTGAGCCTAGTTTATTTTATTACTTCATTGCTGTGCTGTATGTGTATAGGCCAATGTAGTTGGATCTGTATGTGCGTTATAATTAATCAAAATTAATCGATTAAAAAAATGTCGTTTAATCGAACACGAAAATTTTAATCAGTAACAGCCCTCATCACAAAATAACACTTCGTTCAACTCTTTGCACAACAGCGCATTGTGACACGGTGCATTGAAAAATGTTTTTGTGCACTGTATAAAATGCACATATGCTTCATTGTTATGCAATGCACATGTATGGTGTGAACAGGGCAGAGAATAATTGTTTTGTTAAGTGTACTTGCATTGAGTCTGCATTCATTAACACAGCTTAGCCCTTAAACGCAGAAGAAATTGATTTGTTAGGTATACGGTTTGTTTATGGGCTCATACACATGGGCGCATAGGGCCGTACATAGTACAAAAGGGCCGTATTTCTGTGCCCGGGAGTCACAGGTGTTGTGTACAGCTGCCTGTACAAATCAATGACAACCTTTACTAGGTTCCCAGCTCCGCCCACCTTTCTATAATCTTAACAAAGAAGTCTTCCTTTCCCCTCGTTTTTTTACATTGCAGAGAGAATGCAGCAAGAGGAGTCAGGCTTCATGATGAGGTGGGTAAGAGCTGAAGAGCTTTCACTGCTGAAGTCTCTAATAAAAAGACAGGTCTGCAATGGGGTGATCCAGGGACTGATCTCCATCTCTCCCATTCCGGTGTAAACAATGCTTAGGCAAGGCCAGTCTGTATAAGCCAGGCCACTCTAGGCTCCTGAAGCCTGCTCTCTGGTTTCTATGGGTTACCAGGTCGCTAGATGCGTCCAGAGCAACTGGCGCAGGTGAAACGTCACATCCGGTGCTGACTTCTCGCGGAAGCGAAAGTCCCGGCTGCTGTCTATTCAGTGAAGTTGCCGGTAGAATGGGCCGTGCGGAGCGGAAAGCGGAGATGCGGGAGGAGATAGTGCGGCGGGAGCAGCAGAGGGACCGGAGGAGGCAGGTGGGAGATGCCGGGAAGCGGGCTGGGAGTGTCAGAAAGGACGGGAATAATGGCGGATATCGGCTTTCTCCTTGCAGATCTCCCGCATATTACACAAGACGGCGGCAGAGAGGAGCCCCGGGGAGCGGCAGCTGCTGGAAAGCTACGCCGAGCTGGTGCGGGAACTGGAGAGACACCGGCAGAGGAGGGAGAGGCTGCGGCACCGAGAAGAGGAGGTTGTTGCACTGGAGGGGGCTGTTCTGTGGTTACCTCACTAACCCAGGGCAATGGTTACTAGGCACAGCACTGATGGGCAAAGGGGGCAGTGAATGGGCACAACACTGATGGGGAGAGGGGGTAGTCGCTGGGCCCAGCACTGATAGGGAAAGGGGGCAGTCGCTGGGCACATTTATCATTCATACCACTGATGGGAAGTGGTGACAATGACACACAGCATCTGAATCACTAGTTCATGACCTTTGAAAGGTGGGAAATATTCTGGTCATAGCCCCCCATAATGTATAATCACTGTAGCCATCAGTGGAGATCACTTTGTGCATCAGTAGAATTGATGGCGGTCACATTTTATGTTGTTGTGATGCTTATTTTCGGTTGTCTCATTTAGATTAATGACACAGATGAAGTGCTGCAGGGAAAGGTGCTGGAACTGGCAGATGCTTTACGTGGCGCTAAAAACATGGTCATCTACACTGGAGCTGGAATAAGCACGGTAAGGGGAATTAATGGATCCTTAGGAGTGGCATGAAAGGCTTACTAAAGGGAAACTTCATCCTGATTCATTACATTCACCGCTGGGTTCCCTTTGATCACCTTACACCCTTATTTCTCTGTATGTTGCTCTCCTCATCCTGCATGGCCAAACTGGCTGGTAGTATAGAGCTGGTAACGGCTCCCTTTGGTTTATTCAGCAATTACTCCACAATCGGTCATTATGATCACCCATCTTCACCGTTCTGATTAGGTTCAAACAACTGAGCCTCCTGTTCATGGCTGCATGCCTTTTCTATACTGAGAATTGTTATTCGGTGTATTTGTGTGTATGAACGGGTGTGACAAATAGTGTCCATTTGAATCTAGTTTTGATGTAAAGTGATTAGTTTCCCATCTTGTTTTGTGACCCATCTGTTTGCTTCCAACAGGCAGCTGCTATTCCCGATTATCGGGGACCAAGCGGTGTCTGGACTCTACTGAACAAGGGCAGAAGCGTGAGGTGAGCAGACGCAAACACCCCACTTATAAAGAAGCGGTATGCCTTACTGCGGCCATACTGCTGTTTCAGGGAAAAATAATAAGGATAAATGAGCAGTTAACTCTTGAAGCGCCAGGGCAGCTACACTGCAAGTGGAGCGTTTTTGTTTGCCCAAAGATGGGCTTTAATTCTGTCTGAAATCTGATAATTGTGTTCCCGTAGGTTTGTTTTTTTGTTGCAAGTCCAAAAACATTATGGATGGCTACAGCTTGAATGATATAAATGACCTATTTATAGAGGAGATTGGTAGTCGCTCTCCATGGCTTGTTCACACCATGTCCGGATCATGTCCAGACCAGAACAGTTTGTTCCTGGACCAAAAAAGCATCCCAATGTATCCCTATGGTCGTTCTGGGCTCTGTTCACACCAGTGCAGTCCGTTCCGGACTGGACGTACAAAAAAAAAAAGTGCTGCTTATCTCATTTTCTCTGGTCTGGAATACACTGAAAGCATACAAAAGCACTGGACCACACCAGAAAACTCATTTTAAGCCAAAGATTAAAAAAAACGCTCCACAATGGGGTGAAATCGCTGCAAAAATGCACTGCACTGCGTTTGCAGACCTGGTCCAGACATGGTGGGAACATAGCCTAGGCTTCCTCCGCACTGTAAAGGTTAACTGCTTGTTTTGCCTAGGATGCGAAAACAAAGACGATATATTTACCTGATCCTCAGTCCCACCTGGCTGCTAGACCGGTCCCCACAGGCTCTTCTCCACCAGGCTCCGGCGGTCTAAGGATCCGTGAGGTCATCATGTCTAATGCAATGTATTAGACAAGAAGACGCGGAAGGGGAGAGAGGTGAGCGGTCTCTGCTGCAGGATCAGGGGTCAGGTGAGTATTTCTTCTTTATATTTCCCCGTAGACCAATCAAGCATTTAACCCTTACAGTGCAGGGGTAGCCCCACTGCAAGGGATGACTTTTCAAAATCCGTGAGTTCTTCTGTAAAATACTTAATTTTTTTGTTTGCTTCTTTCTGTAGCACTGGTGATCTAAGTGATGCGCAGCCAACCTTCACACACATGTGCATTTCTCGGCTCCACAGAGCAGGGCTGGTAAGTTACTAACGCCTATATTTTGTAATGTGAGATGAAGCTCACATTATTCAATAAGGCAAAGAGCAGAGCCCATCTCCAGCCATAACTCTCACTCGGGGAGTAGATTGGGTAGGGGTAAGAAACTCTTGTCACTTTTTAATGGCTGTTTTGTGCTGCTTCCTTTTCCTTGTCACCAGGAAGTGAGGGACAACCCACCCAGATAACCGTCTAGATATGCACTGCAACCCTCTTCAAAAACCCTATAAAAATAAAATATTTCTTAAAGAGGCTTTGTCACCAGACCATTGTTTCAACTATCTTCTAATAAGATTATTAGGGTTATTCACTAAGCTGTCAGAGGCATCCGAGTGAATAACTGAGCTGTAGTGACTTCGACTCAGCAGATTCAAAACCTGGATCGGCTGAGCCAAAGCTCCGGCACTCTCTTGCTGCCATTCACCCCTATTCACAAAACAAAGTGTGCAGAGCGAGCAGTGACAGCTATCTATGCCTAACTGTTTCTTATTGGCCGGCACCTGCTAGAGTCTACCAGCAGGTCCCGGACAATGAATAACAACTGGGCGAACATCACGGCCCAGCTCCGCCCAGTTGTCATTGTTTAGTTACAATTCAGCATCCCCAGGTCATTTGGGGACACTGATCTGTGATTACAACTGGGCGGACCCAGCTGTGAGATCATGCCTGGCTCCTCCCAGTTGTCATTTGCGAGGCCTTCGGCAGGCCGTTTGCCTTGCTTCGGCTGTCACTTCGGCTTGCCTGCCTTCGGGAGCTGTACGGGTTATAGTGAATAGCCCGTACAGCAACCCTTCGGCAACCCTTCCCGCAACCGAAGCTAGCCGAAGGATCAGCCGAAACTACAACTGATCCTTTGGCTAGCTTTGTGAATAATCCCCTATATGTCTATTTTTATTTTGTTTTAGGCATGTTCGTTACCTGTAAAAGCCTTCCATGTGTAGACATGCCCCTGGGAGTCATGCCTGTGGCTCTCAGTCTTGCAGTGCCTTGTGGAACTTGTAGGTTCACAATAGCTGAAGTTTCAAGATTGCCCACTCCTGTTCTATAGTATTCGCCTTCACCATCTATATAAAATGTTTATGGAAAGAAGTAAGCATTTAAAATATTTGATTTTCTGTCCTTTTTCCTGAAGTTTAAAGTTAGTATCTCTACCCTGATAGGCACATCACCCAGCCTCATGGTGGCAACACTTAGGCCTGGCAATTGGCCACTTGGGCACTGCATTATGGGATGCCGGGGGGATGTACTTGTGTGCCCCATAGCGACATCACCAAAAATCCATACAAATGTGTGTTCTACTGGGAGATCTAAAACAAGACAGAAAATCCGACTCTAGCATTTTTCCGTTCTCCTACAGACGAAGCATGTCGTGTCACAGAATTGTGACGGACTTCACCTCCGCAGCGGATTACCTCGAGAAGCCACTTCTGAAGTACATGGAAACATGTACATTGAGGTAAGGACGTCTACATGGTCGTGGGATGGTTAGTGCTCACTTAACAGGCTGTCAGGCTGTAGAGCAAAGACCTAGATGATGCTGGATGTTCTCCAGACAGGAAACCAGGCCGACTATCTGACTTGCTGCAGCACATTGTGAGATGCTCAGATGTGCAGTGAAAAAATTAAATAGAATAACAAGTAATTTCAGTCCAGAAGAGGAGCCGGTACAGCTGTGCAAGACTGAAGGGAAGGCCGGAGTTCAGCTTTAACTTATCTTTTGTAGGTTTGCACATCGTGTTCCCCACACAGAGAGTATGTGAGGTTGTTTGACGTGACAGAACGCACTGCTCTTCACAAGCACAACACTGGACGTAATTGTCACAAGTGCGGAGGAGAACTGAGAGACTCTATTGTGCACTTTGGCGAGCGGGGAAAGCTGGCACAGCCGCTGAACTGGGCGGGAGCTGTGAAAGCCGCTGACAAGGCCGATGTCATCCTGTGCCTGGGATCCAGCCTGAAGGTAGGTACATGTGACCGCTAGTCTGCTTGTATGAAGATAATTTATAACTAGTGTTATGAATTTTATTTTAAGAGTTCTCACTATATCTGAAGCCAAACCTTTTTTCTCCATTTTGGAAAGAGCAGGGAATGAATTAAAACCCTGGCAGATTTTTGTCTTATTGGGCAGATTTCTCTTCACTTCCTGCCCTACAGACAGAAAGTAAGAGGGAAAACACTTCAAAATGACGGGTAATCACCTCTTAGACAGTTCCATCAAGAATCAGTGTCCCCATTGCAAACCTTCCCCTCTATTGCTGTTCTGAAGACAACTCAAAATTTGGATTTCCCATCAATTTTAGTCTCCGTGACGGTGTTCACCAGGACAATAAGAGAGGGTCAATTTCCCAAGCTGGAACACACAGCGGTAAAAACATGACGGGGGTTCTAACTCCCGGCCGCACTATTCAATACTCTAGTCTTTTACTTGAAAGAAACTTGTTATAAGCGAAATATAGGTCCACCATTGCTGATTTCCTTAGGGTTAGGCTAGTTGTTTGCTGGCTGTTATGCTAACCTTCCTGATTTTAATACTTTCTGAGTCACAAACCCATAGCAAGTGTGTAGATCAGGACCTCTGACACCTCTCTGGCTTTCCTGTTTTGGGTTTGTGGCTCAAAGTGTTCATGCCAGACTGCCAGCACAGTAGCCAGGCGGCTTGCCTCTTTAGAAGAAGATCATTGTATGATTACATGTGGTTCGGATAGATGATTGTCCATGTAAAGCTGGACACATACACCTATAGAAGATCTGCAGATTTTCTATGGTCAGATGGAAAAAGTGCAACGATTCCTCCATCTACGCTAAACTGTGGATGGAGGATTCTCCCACTGAGCCAAGCTTCAGTATCTTGCTAGTCGGCCCCGATGGCTCTCAACAATCTGATTGGATGCAGGCATTGATTAGGTATTTTGAGAGCCAGCGCGGCCGACTAGCAAGATACTGAAGCTTGGCCCAGTGGGAGATTCCGCCATCCACACAGTTTAGCGTAGATGGAGGAATCTGTTGCACTTTTTCCATCTGACCCTAGAAAATCGGCAGATCACCTACAGGTGTATGGCCAGCTTTACAAGTTTCAAGAGATGTCACCAGCACCCCATAATACCTTGTGCAATTAGCAAAGGTCCATTTTATTGACATATCACTAAAGTGCAAGCTCTTTCAGGGCCACGCACGGTCCCCTTCATCAGGCTCAGAATGACAGATGATTGTCCCTGGATGCATCTATCCTGTGTCCAGAGACAAACATCTATCCCAAACTTTATGGCATTGTACAATGTATGATTAGAATGGGACTGCCACTGACAGGATGACAATGCCCACATCTGTCAGTGGCAGTCCCCTTCTAATCGTACACAGCGGCCGCATGTGCGGATACCTGGGATTCCTGCCACAAAAATCTGTAGGTTATTATCATAAGAATCACAGAATGCATCAAAGTCCCCACGTGATTGAGGCCTTAGAAGCACTAATTGGGGAGAATTTATCAAAACTGGAGCAGATTTGCGCTGCAACCAATCAGCTTCTGTGTCCCATTTTCAAATCTTACCTGAGCAAACTGAAGAGAGGTGCTCATTGGTTGACATGGGCAACTGCTCCAGATTCTCTCCTCCCCTGTTTTTATAAATTCTCCCCATGGTCTTCAAGGTAGGTCATAAGTATCACAAATGTAGTGAGTAATGCTTAAATCAGAAGCACTGCTTTTGATATTTGGGTCTAAGGCAACCCTAAGTTCTGATTTTATTGGTACATCAGGTCTCTTTTAAGAAGATGTTGGCATTTGGCCTATTAGTTATTTATTTTTTATTTGTCATCAATTAATTGATTAACTGTTCTTTTCAGGTGCTAAAGAAGTACCATTGTTTGTGGGGAATGAACAGACCTGCAAGTCGCCGTCCAAAACTTTACATTGTAAATTTGCAGGTACTTTTCATATGGACAATACAAGCTAACAGTACTTGCTGAAGGAAAAATGTCTTTCCATTTGGGACAAGTCACTTCCTTTTTTTTTTACAATATAGAAAGCTTATTAATGCATAAAGTTTGACCCCATGTTGTGATACTTAGGGGCCCACGGCCATCATATATAATACATTGAAATGCCAGTTTTGTTAAAACGGAAAATTAACGGAAAAAAAACACATGGAAAAAACAAAAATTAGCTCTGCACATATTCGCTTCTGGTGCAACACTCCTCCTAAAGTGTATGTAAGCTCTAAAAATTAACTTATTTGTTCCTTTTTTGGTCTGTTAAATGTACCATGTTTAAAGTGTTTACCCATCCCTGTTCAATGGGCAAAAAAACAACAACTTTTAATCCTGCCAGAAATCCGATGCTGTCATGTGGCTTCTGTTTTTTTAAACTGTGTTATCGGGAAGCGTGTTAGGACTACAGAACACCTCTTGTCATGTAATGGAGATGATGGGGGAGCTGCTAAGTAGTCATTACACACTTCCTCTCCAAGGGTAACAACACTGCTCCACCATAAGTACAGTACAGTGAGTGAACATTAGGACAGGAAATGTTACTGGCAGGATCACAAGGTAAAATATGGGAAAACTAAGGCAACCACCACATCTAAAAAGTGATCTATGGGGGTAAGTGTTTTTCTCCATATTTCTCTTTAGGATCACGGGAGGATCATATACTAACCTCCTCCCATGACCCAAAGCTCAATATATAGCAAGCTATTGCGAAGGTGCTTTCCTTTTCTGAAAATTGGAAAACATGTGGCCTCCTTTAAATTATAAAGCCATAATGCAGGGGTAGGCAACCGTGGCATTACAGCTGTGGTGAAACCTCAAATCCCATCATGCCTTTGCCTCTGGCCTTCCCTGTGGATGTGAGTCTTGCTATACATTAGAGCAGTGTTCCCCAACCCCCGGTCCGCGGATCAAATGGTACCGGGTAGTCTCAGTGCTGTCCGGTCCTGCAATATGGGGCAGTGCAGGGTCCCGGCGTTCGAACACCGGGGCCCCGCACTGCCGACGGGCTTCACAGTGAGGGGGCGGGTCCTGTGACTCACCTCCCCTCCCGGCCGCGTCCATAGTAACAGGAGGCGGGAGGGGAGGTGAGTCACAGGAGGCGTGTGTGTGTCA